GTTTGAATATTACAGTTTGGGTTTTCTCTTGAAGTAAAGACTGGCATGAGACAGACAACATATAGAAATCGAACTAGTGTTCTAGCCATGGTAAGAGTATGCAACTCACAGGGGTGCAGACTTTCAAACCTAGAATTGAGACTAATTCTGCAATGAAATGTGAGAACTTATAAAAGTTATTTAATCTAGCTAAGTTTAATTAATCTTTTAAGTTTTCTCTTTATTACTAATTCAGAGCTAATAAATCTCTGCCCTGACAACTTGATAACACAACTATGAAGCCCAAAAGTAACTTTATAAACAACAAAACTTGTGAAGTTCGTAAGAAATATATGTTGAATCATATGAAATTGCCAATACTCATCTTTTTTTTTTTTTTTTACCTATAAAGGTAGCAATTTTAAACAAATATTCTGGAAATGTGGAGGATTTCTTTGTCAGACTTATAAATATGTTGTTAATAGCTTCCATCAATTTGGAGATTTATGTCCTCTGCTCCCTTATACATTGATAATCCTGAATTGTTGCTTGCTTCTCCCTCAGATAAGTAAATCTGAGGGAGAAAAAATGTCAATATTCTTGAAGACAACCATACTCAAATGAGCTTACAGATATAGGACTTTAAACTGAAACAGCAAGAATAAATACCAACTAATTGAAAAGAGAGACAGAGAAATGAGAATAGATGCTTTAGTTATATAATTACAACTTACATAACTAATGAAGCAACCAAATCATTGCAAAGAGCTCTGTGTTCTAAATCTGATTCTAGTCCTAGTTTTATTATGAACTGGCTATAAAATCACAGGTGTAGTTCATCAGGCCTCAGGTTTCTACAGCTGTGGTCTAAGGGGCTGGAACTATGGTCTTGAAGATCCTGCTGTGTTCCAGTATTCTCTGACTTGTATTACTATTGAGCCATGATCATCAAGTGATCACAACAGAGAAGGAAACACTGAGGGTTCCTCAGGATGTCACAGATTAGTCTTACAATTTAACTAAAATGTATCCTGCAGGAGCCCAAAAATAATTTTCCAGAGGGAAGCAAGAGTTAGGCTGAGCAAAATTGTGACAAAGTGATGTTGGCCTTAGATCAGGATGAAAGCCAAGAAGAAGGGGAAATTATAGAAAAAGAATGAAAAAGAAATAATACTGGTCTGATATATATAGAAGCCAAAAGATTGGAAAATAGGTCTTATGTGGCTTCTGCAAAACTATCGTAAGAGTTAATGCCTCTTGACATTATAAAGGAAAGGGGGTTAGACTATGCCCAATTTGTCCCCACATTTGATTCTGGCTTCTAGAAACCTAACTCCCTTTATTTATACCAATGCAGGCCAATGAATTAAAATCAAATTTCTTCATAAAGAGTATAAAGCCTACTTGTATCTACAACAATTTGATTCACAGCAATTCTGTAAAATCCATCTTCCATAAAGCCTATGATCATGAAGGTAACTGTGAAGAAATTTTTAAAAAAGAAAAACCGTGCACAAATGAAAAGCAAGCAGAAAGAAAACACATAGTGGGAAACTAATAGAAGTAATTAAACTGAAAATATTTGACTGCCACCTTGTAGCAAGTATATTCCCTTCCCTCTAATTTTCCCTGTACTATAAAGAAAGGTAAAAAATTGATCCCTTACCAGCAGAAAATTGGTACTATGTTTTTGGAAAGGAAATCACAGGCTATTACAGGCAATTTCCAAGCTGATTTGTTCTTTTCAATTGATTGCCAAGAAATTAGAATCCCATTTTTCTTTGTCTAGTCATTCATGCTCTTTCTTGGAGATTTGCATAAAAATTAGAGCTGAAAAAAAACTCAGCTGAAGAATACAGCAACTGGAGAATTTATAGAGATGCATATCAATCATTGGAGACCCATGTATATATAATATTACAAAGACATAATTAGAACAAATGTCTATATTTTGCAAAGATTTAATATTGCAGTCTGTTAGATTTCCATGCACAAATTATCACAGCTGTGAGATACACTCAAAAACATGCACATGATACATTTAAATGAACACACCAGGGAGCTATGAAACTGCTAATTTCCCACTATTTATCTGCAGCCACACATGGAAAAAAGTGAAAATATGTTCCTAAAATCTTTTGGACTTTCTAAAATAACATAATATTAAGATGTATTTGCTTCTCTGATGAAATATATTATTTTATGAAATATAGATAGTAAAAAATTTTTCCTTTGGAGCAATGCAAGCCAGTCAGACATTAAGTACTAGATAATTCATCATGTAGGAACACAGGACTATATATTTTCATGTGTACCATGTAAACAAACACAAATGGCATAAGTCTCTGAGTGAATGATGTCAATCCTCCTGGCTCGTCCAGTCTCTAGAACATGACAATAAACTGTTCTTTTTCTTATATGACCTATAGAAATGGTTTAAAATTGTTCTATTAACTTATGCCACACTGAGAATAAATTTCTTGAGCTTTCTTAAAATTCAAAGAGTGTTTTGGTTAGGAATTGACCACTAAATTGTAAACTATGGGAAGGCAGGAATCCCATCTTTCTCATCTGTATCCTCATGCTTTCACAAAGCAGATCTTCAATAATTTGTTGCATGAATCAAGTAAACTATTCTAGCCTTATCTGACAATGGGGTTGTGTCATTAACTATATTTTATATCTGGATGGGCATGCCTCCCTTTCCCAGACGAAAGAGATCACTATAAAATATTGCTGCCATTTTTATTAGATACTGAAATGTCACTTTAAAAATAACTTTAGAATTTTCTAAAACACTTTGATATCTTTCTACCCTAGAATATACATACAATTATACTATCAGATAAAATCTGAGCCTCATAAAGCAATGAAAGAAGAGCCAATCATTTATGTATAAGAGGGACTGACAAAATGACCAACTTTGGCCTATAAGCTAATAATGGTTGTTACATTTTTAAATATAGGGAGGAAGGAAATATTTTCAAACAAATAACATTTTGTGACATCTGAAAATTATAGGAGTTTCAAATTCCAGGGCCCATAAATAAAGTTTAATTGTAACAGTCACTCTCATTCATTTATGCATTGTCTATTGCTGTTTTAGTGCTACAATTGCATTTCAGAGCTGAGTTGTTACAAGAGACCATATGGACCACAAAGCCTAAAATATTTATTACCAGTGCTTTACATGAAAAAAAAAGGTAGCCAATCTCTGTGTTAGCTGGTCAGACTTTTTCCTATTAACTGGTGGAAAAAAATAGGAAACAGTAACACAGAGCAAATAGTTCAGCTGATACTGTTACTGTGTCATTCTTCTGGGGTCATTTTGACTGAGTCAAACTTTTCCAGAGTGAACAGAAGGCAATTTGAGAAAATATCTTAATGCTATAACATACATATCTAGGAGAAGGTACTTATCCCCTCTGGGTCTGTATGTGGTGATTACAGGTCTCTGTTTCTTTGATCCCTGTTGTATAATTTTCTAAGAACTAAATCATTTTGCACTTAAATATATTAACATATATTTCCATCTGATTTTCCAAAGAGTTCATATGGTTGGCAATGGGAATTGTGTCTGCAACCGTGAGTTCTAATTTTCCTTTGAATACTCTGTGTTCCCAAGGAACCACTTGATTAAACTTTCTGCTCAGGCTTACATATAACACCATATAATTACAATTTGCAAAACTTTCATGCTGAAAGTAAATGGTGAGATCCCTCCTGGCCAAAAAGGGTTTTAGATGCTCAAGTAGCTTAACATCCTTTGAAGGGAGAGCATGCTTCTTTTCTACCCCTCTGCTGCCAACCCCACCCTGTAGCCAACAGGTGTTCAGAGGATGCCTCCGCTGGCAGGAGAGACACATTCCAGCCTCCTCAACTGCATTTATGTTAATTAAAAAAGAGAATAACAAGCCCTCTTTATTACCTTTTCCATACCTAATGCCCTATAACAGCTCAGAACACATCAGAAATGATCCATTATTTATTGTTCATTTGCCTTTTTGGTGTACAAGATAATCTTTGCCTCAGGTGAGATAGTTTTTAATTTCATTTCTTATTTTTCCTGAAGAGAAATGTTGAATGTTTGGATTACTCTAAAGGGCTCAAAATGTATATATTTTACATTTATCTACAGAGACTCTGGCAATACTTCCAGCACACATATAATATCTTAATTAAACTAACAAGTGACTATTCCTAACCACAGAAAAGTAAATATAAACAGAGTTCCGATTGGCCAGGCTTCCATCCTTTCATAAGCGCTACTCTATTCTTATTAGTCATGAAACAACATCATTAAAGATCCAAGAGTCAAGGTAAAACTTAACATATAAACAGGTCATATGTATATGGTAATATGTTTGCAAATTCTGGCTTAATTTATGTAACACAATGTATTACTAGAAAACAATCTAAAGCAGGTATGCTAAACTGTGGCTAGATGATGCTACCTTGTCCTTCTGTACTCAGATATTTTCTTAAGCATGCACTAGGTCTTAGCACCTTTCTCAACACAACACACAAACAAGTCACTTTACACTTTATGATGAAACCTATTTGCTATCCCTAGTACATAATGGTACTTCCAAAAGTGGATTGTGTACATCCCAGGAGATGTGTAAGATGATCCACTGGGATAGGGAAAGATTTTTTTTAAATATACCCATTATTACTTGAATACAGCATGTACTCAAAATTGTTTTATTGATAGACGTGTATGGATCAGAAAAAAATAGAACTCAGTGTGAGTTTCTTTGTAACTCACCAGAAATGGTTTGAATTCAATTTCAGAACACAGGTGGAACTCCTAAGGAAAGTTTATAAGGCACATAAAAAAATTGAAATTGAAAAAGGACTGCCACACCAGCTCATCTCAATCTATTTTTTTTCATCTCAATCTACTGTAGTCCACTGCCTCACATCATTATTGCCCATCAATCACCCCATTACTGACACCAATAAACAGTCACCCTTGCTCATGCCTCCTAAAATGACAAGCTGACAGTCAATACACTCACTGTTTCTGAAGTAAGTGCTGGTGCTGCTGCTGCTGCTGTTGCCTGTATGTTTCAATTGTGTGCTGAGGAAGGTACTGCATGAGTTCCAGGGATTCTTTGATCTTCAACAGCATTTCATAAGTCTCACGGCCCCTCACCTATGTAAGTGAGCAGAAGGAAAGAGAGGGAAAAATGAAAAACTGTCGAACTGTTAGAAGCACAGTCAATCTCTATATTCATGGATTCTGTATTTGCAAATTTACCTACTTGCTAACATTTATTTGTAACATGAAAATCAATACTCCTGGTGTTTTTGTGGCTATCTGCAGATGTGTGTAGAGTGACAAAATATTTGAGTCGCCTGTGCAAGTTCCCAGCTGAAGTCAAACAAGGAGATGCTCTGTTTTCTTATTTCAGCTCTCCTGGTATAAACCTGAGTTATTTTCATGTTCTATCTGGTGCAGTACAGTTCACAATGTTGTGCTTTTTCTGGGTAATTTCACTATTTAAAATTACACCCACATATAGTGCTGAAGTTCTATCTAGTATTTCTAAGTGCAAGAAGACCATGATGTGCCTTACAGAGAAAACATGTGTGTTAGATAAGCTTCATGTAGGCATGAGTTACAGTGCTATTGGCCATGATTTCAATGTTAATAAGTCAACAGTATCAGTATAAATTAAATAATGTCTTCAAACAGAAACACACATAAAACAAGATTATATGTTGATCTGTTGACAAAATGTTGTGACCAGAGCTCAAAGGAACCTAGTCCTGCATTTCTCTTAGGAGCAATGGTTCTGTATTGAGTAACAGTTTTTGCAGTGCTTTTATAAAACATTACCAACATTTAAAAAATGAGAATTGACCATAACTATATCTAGTAGGACAAAAGTTTTCAGCTGGTATAAAATGTGTTTCTATCTTTAAGAAGGTCTCTTAAAGCTTTAAGAAATATGAGCAAGGTCAAACTAGGGTGAGGCAAATCGACACTTAGGGCATATGCATGGCCCTGAGAGTTAGTGCCTATTTACAATTTCCACAGTAGGCACTACACCTGCCTCTCCCCACCCTGAATATGAAAGGCAGAATTTGTCAGAATTCTGAAATGGAAAGATGTTTCTACTTTTTGTTGGGCTCCTACTCATCCCAGCTCTGGAGTCCCTTCTCTGAGAAGTTGTTGCTGACCTTACTCTTCAAGCCTACATCTTTGGTCCTTTCTCTGTGCTTCCACAGCTCTATGTCTACCTAGTTCTAGGGAAGCATTTATTATATTACCTTATAACTGTGTCTTCAGTAGAAGGCAAGCTCTTGTGTCCTACTGATCTCTAAATGCTCCCAGTCTAGCATATTTGCCACTCAACAAACACCAACTAAATACATGCTAACTTAACAGAGTTATCACCCCCCCACACAAACTTTAGTTTGGCTAAATACTTCACTAAACTTAAGATTAACTCATTATAGGGGTACCTTCTTCATTAGTACAAACTGAAATTTTAAAATAGCTTTTCAAGTAGTTTCTATCTCCTTAGCTGAAAACATATTGAGTCTTTTGAAATATTTAGTATATCAGGGTAATGTTTTACTTAAAGGTCACTAGTTGGTTTCCATATGTATCTTGAGAAGCAAGACACTGAGAGTCTCAGCTAACTCACTGTCTGATTAGTCTATTGGCAATCTATTTCCCTGAAGGTCAGGGCCCAAAGAAGATGGGGAAGAAGGTAGGGCACACCCAAACCTGTTTAGTTGCTTTAGTTCAATCCCAGGGAGGTGGCTCATAGTCAAATCTCCTGGCCCTGTCAGCCCATATCTTATGTCACTTTAGATGGCATCAAGGGCTATACTGGTCACCAAAACTTCACTGCCACTCTCAATAGCAAATATCTAAGGGAATAAGAATTCAACTAACTACAACTATAGTCTAATAAAGTGACCTCATTTGTGACCTCAAGGGGGCTAATGTTGCTTGTAGAAAAAAATGAGATTCTTACATAATTGGGCAAAGCCTCCTGGCCATTTATGTATACATTTATCCTTTGTTATATGCAGGGGATTGAATCCAGGACCCTTCCCTGCCCCACTGGCCCCCCAGATATGAAAACTCTCAGATGGTCAAATCCCTTATATAAAATGGTATAGCATTTGTATGTAATGTATGCACGTCCTCTGTATACTTTACCTCTAGATTATATATAATACCTGATACAATGTAAGTGCTATATAAAGAGTTGTCATACTGTATTGTTTTTGTATTTGTATTTTTTATTATGTTATTTATTATTATATTGTATTGTTCTTTAAAATAACATTTTATGTTGGTTTTTTTTCAAGTATTAACACTTATGATCTGCAAAAGTATTGGTTGAGTCTGCAGATGTGGAACCTACAGATAGGGAGGGCCAACTGTAATGGAGGATTCTGCCTTGCTTGGCTTTCTTTATACCACTCGCTGAAAGAAATCACAGTCAACTCTATAATTGCTGTATTATCAACTTTGTGAACTCTTTATGACAAAATTTTTGGCCTAAATTGGTATGGCCATGCTGTCTAGCATAATCTTATCATTCTCCAATAATGAAGTACAAATTAATTTTAAATATTTGGGTAGAAAAAGTTCTATTAGGAGGGTGATTTCAACTGGGTGGGTGGGTAAGTATAGAAGCTCACACTATTATTCCAGAACTGTAGCAGGAAAGGATAATTTCCTAAATTTTCAAAACATATATTATTTCTGTTTTATAACACTAGCCTCCTCTCAACAACCGTATGGACTGAATGTGTGTGTCCCTCCAAAATTCATAAGTTGAAATCCTAATCCCCAATGTTATGTCATTAGGAGGTGGGGCCTTTTAGAAGGTCATGAGGGTGGAGCCTTCTTGAATTATATTAGTGCCCTTATAAAAAAAGACCCTAGAGACCTCTCAAACCCTTTCCATTATATGAGGATATAAAGAGAAGATGGTAGTTCGCAACTTCAAAGAGCCCTCACCAGAAACCAACCAGGCTGGCACTTTAATCTCAGACTTTCAGCTTCTAAAACTGTGCAAAAATAAATTTCTGTCATTTATAAGCCACCTAGTCTATGGTACTTTACTGCAGCAGTCTCAACTGACGAAGACATCACCTTTCCCGTTTCCACAGATAACTAGAAGGTGACCATATAGTAAAAGATCACTTAAAGAAGGTTAACATGAAGCAACCATGAACACCCCCAAGGGAGACTCACTGGTAAGTATAACAGTTCATCATCTGGGGATCTTCGTTTCTTGATGGATGTCATCTGGATACCATGTGTGTTCTGACGAAAAGCTGGTGGAGGAAAAATGTAAGTTATCCTAGGAACATTTCTGAAGAAATTACACATACTAAACATATTAAATATGTATTTGATATCTTTAATAATTGAATGTTAATATCAGTAAGATTTACTAATGCATATTAAACAGACAGTAGCACCAGCAACACCTGTGAGATTAAAGATTCTAGTCCTAAGTGCCCATTTAATTGGTGACAATTGATTTCACATTGAGTGTGATCCTAGCAATAAAGAGGTAGGGGGAAGATGGGAAAGAATAAATTAAAGAATGAAGTCAAAGATGATGAGAATCAGTCTTTGGCTTAAGTAATGCTACAAGAAACCACATGTATTCCTGATGTGTGTCTGTGAGCAGCCATTAAAAAAAGAGATAAACTGGTTTTGCATTTTAATTTTCAGATTATTCATCTTCCAAGGAAGTAATGCAAGTTGTAGAAGCTGTTTTGCCAATGGCAAAATTAGGGAATTAATGAGTGATACATTCTTAAGGTTTCCCACATTAGAAACCACATTCAGGATATAAATTTAGAGATGATCCTTCTACCAAAATTTAGTTAATATGTCTTATTGAAAGTCATTAATTTGTAGGTAACTGGAGTGATTAGGGAATGAGCTTAGGAACTAGGCTACCATGCAGACTCAAGAGTAAAATTATAACAGAGATAGATAGATATGTATATGTGTGTACATGCATAAAATTTTTAACATATATATGAATTTCTGAGGAATGATCAGAACAGGAAAAGCATATCATACCAAATAGTTAAAAGCTGATGGTGATGGGTTCTCCCACAAATTATAATATAATTTCTATTTCTTCTGGATAGTAATCAATACTAAGATTAAATCCTTTTTCAAAAATAAGCCATAGTGTAGTATACTTTAAACCCTTGTTGAAGTGATATCAGGCTTATTCAAGGGACCTTCTAGAATTAAATTTTGCCACAAGAAGCACAGGGGATCAGTGTTTTTCAAACTTTGTAAGTGAAGTCCTAGGACTCTGTGGAGGTGAACTTCATCAGCAAGGGGAAGTTGAAGGTAAAGCTTGGAGCTACAGACAACTCCCAAATCCCATTCTCTTCAACTGGAGCAGCTCTGCTTTATTTTGAATTGTAGGTCCCTTGAAATATTGCATTTTTGAAAAGCATTGACTGATTAAAATACAAGTTTGAAAACACCTGATGATGTAACTGATGCCCCCAAGAAGGTCATACATGTAAAGACTCCATGAAACCTAGATGCATACTCTGTAGACTGTGTTTGATGAAATACACCCCAAATCTTCCTGTTCTCATAGAGACATGAGGTGAACAGATGCTATTTTCAGCCCTAACACTAATAACGAAAAGATAAATTGGTACCAACAGGCTAAGACACTGGTTTTAAAACTGTAGCTACAATCACCAGGAAGGTTTAATAAACACCAATACTGTGCCTCACACACCAAGTTCCTGATACAGAAATCTCACAATGGTTATTTGCCTTTATAAAGCTGGATTATAAACCTGGGGTCCATTTAAATACTGTACCTAATACCATTGGTTCTGGGGCCTCAAGTCATACTTTCTGCTAAAGCTCATGGGTCTTATCATGCAGATTCTCCAATATCACCCCATGCCCCAACATCTAGAAAGAACTCAACCCTACCCCATTTGGCCACTACATCTACTTACGGCGCTTCGTACCATCACCGTTCTTTGTGCTATCCGAAACTTGCTGCTTTCTGATGCTGTCTTCATCTGCCTTCCTGTCTCTTCCTGGGCAAGCACAGATCCTGGCCTCAAAGCAACGTCGGCCCAGGACTTGCCCACTACGAATTAGGAAAAAAAATGGGATGAAGGGTTAAATTCAAAGACTTTTAAAGGTCTCCTGGAGTTCTCCCATTTCCATTTCCAACATTGACCATCACCTGTGCACCATCGCCCCCACCAGCTCAGCCATGGCTGCTTTGAGGATGGATGCCAAAGCACTCAGCAGAACACAAAAGTGCTTACATGCCACAAGCAATATTAGTAAATAACATTCCATTTTTTCTGCAAAGAACCTCCAAGCCATTAGCTGAACAGCTGTATTTAGCTACATATTCTGAAGGAAACTTGAGTTAAGCCAGTGGATGTCTCAGGATAAAATCCCCTTAGGCAGCCCAGACTTATTCAAAGAAACTGTCAAATGCCTTGGGGGCCACATGAAAATAAACACTGTCTAATCAGAAACAATTCCAGTCAAATGTCAAGAATTCAGGTATGAAGCCACTTGCACACCTTCCCAGCTCTTTTTTCCTCCCTCTACCCACCCTCATTTGTCTCTGCTTTCTTAGATCTTTTATGTAAGTGTTTACAGCAAGGATTTAAAGTACAAAGGACAAAATCAAGGGTAGCTCGCTGCTATACATGCCAAGTTAATGATAAAGCAGACACAATTTCACTTTGCCCTCTCTCTGCCCATGATTTTTTGGAGAACGACAGTTCTACATATGCCACTTACTCTCTGGTTTCCAGAGTAACAATGATTAAAATTGGACGACGGTTCATTCCTCCAACACAACTGCTGTTACACATGAAATTGTACAAGACTGTCGTGAATTCAGTGCCAACCTAAGCACAGGGGGAAAAATTCTGTTAACAATGGCTTGAACTGATCCTCTTCCTTTTCAATTCTTCCCTTTATTTAAGGCATTCCTATTCTGAAGTGATATGCTTCCTTCTAGAAAGGCCAACTTTGAAACTCATGATAGATTTTTCTTTGCCTTGCCTCCTGGGAAGCTTAAAACTGATTTTTGCAACATTGGACATGATGTTAGGTAAGACAGGCTGTAACTGATTTTTGATACTGTTCATTTGCAAGCTGGTCCATATCACCAAATTCAAATAGGCTACACTACATATAGAATATCACTGAAAAGAGAAAGCTGGAAAAAGTTACCAAAACAGTAGCAATGCTCCAAGGATATTTTCCCTATGTGGATAAAATACTATGACATAGATTTGAATATATACTTCTGTTAATAACACTCTGGAGTTCAAAACATTCTCAGAATTAAATAATCTGGTCCAAAGTGCACATTTATGGGTAAGGCAGCTGAAGCCCAGAGAGGGAGAGTCACATGGCAAAGGTCCACATAGCAAGATAGCAAACCAAAGAACTTTGGGTTCCCTACTACCACAAGACTCCAGTTTACATAATAGATTTACAAATCTGCCATCTGTTCATTCAAACTTTAAGAGATTCCTCTTAAGCTATCCCACTGACTGACTAGTGTAAAAATACTTGCATCCATTCCCGTTTTACATCCACTCCTAGTGCAATTGCAAGCTGGATAAAACAATGCCATGTATAAGCCCAGTTCAATTATTATCTGCCCTTAAAATGGGAACATGGGCACAGAGCCATGTTACCCAGTTAATTCGGTATATATTTCGGAGCTTTGAAGGAAAGGCATGTGGAGAATAGGGAGAAAAGAAATACAAAAAATGTTACATATTTGCTAGAAACACTCCCTGTTGCTGAAACTAATGCTCTCTCAAGATTGCCCATTCTCTCCTCTCCCTTTTTTTCTTGCTATCTCTCTCTATATATACACATGTGAGTGTGTGTGTGTTTGTATATTTTTATTTATTTATTTGTTTTTTACCTGGGGTGGCTCATAAGGTACCAGCACACTCTGTCTTCCTGTGATGGGGTCTTCTACATATTGGGCATGGCTGTTCCCTTCTACTCGAATCAAATGACTAGGAGGGGCAATCTGTCCTGCAGAATAGAAAAAGACAAAATAATTCCTTACCTTCAAAATAAAGAAAACAAAATGAAACTTCATGGACAGAATGTTGGTGGCCAAAGAAATGGTACATGTAGTAAAGGAAATATACATCCTTGAAAAAGGAGAAGATCCTATTGCCAGATATCTAATATAATGCATGGAGGTATCTCAACCTTTATAGAAACAGAAAGAGCTGGAATGCTCATCTATATTTAAGAGAACAGTCCTATGCTTTGCAGTTTAAGGTTAGCAAGTCAAGCTTTTACAGAGCTCAATAACTATATCTTTGACTCATCCATGGAGAGCATTTTGATAGCTTCCATGGAAAATGGAAGGAAAAAGGGCAAGTTAATAAAAAACAAAAAAACTCCAGAAAAACAGTTCAACTCTTAAAAATGTTGTCTGGAAGTCTGACCAACAAGGATACTAATTAAGCAGAAGATAGCAAGGCTATGACTTTCACTTCGCTTATTTTTTTCTCCTCATCCATTTTTAAATCTTGCTTTGGTTATAATGATAAGAAACTTGCTGGCTTTACTTTTCTGAAGGAGTCCCAGGTTGGAGACAATAAAAGACAAGTAGGTTTTAAAAAGAACTTAGGCAAAGTCTTACAGAATTTTGATACACAAAAAAGGAAGATGCTCTAGGAATTGGGATTCATAAAGCTTTAGGCCATGTAGTTCTGTTACACACACAAAAAAGTCAATAAAAGTAAAAAGCTAAATGTATCATGATGTTCTCTGCAGCATCATCTATTACGGTAAAAACTAAAAACAACTATAAGTCCAAAAATGAGAAAACAGTTTAAAAATATTATCATCTTGATGGGACACAGTTAGGTAAACTGATAATGGAGCCTATCTATGTGGGATATTGTTTATGGCATATTGTTGTGATACACAAGACAGAAATGTATGGATGATGTCATGTAGACAAGGACTAGGAATTAATGTGTAAAAAAAAGTAGGGTTAAGAAGATTTTAACTTTATTTTCTACTTTAAAATTTCTATCCATTCTCTTTCTTCCTCTGTTAATTTTCTCTACAATTTATTATATTCTCTGTATTTATATATTCTATTTACCAATCTTTATGTTTTTAGTATTTTCCCTATAAAGTACCCTAACTTCCAACCCCTCCTTCATTCTCATCATTCTTTTATGATTCCTTATGCTTTCCCCTATCTTACTTTCCACTTTTCAGTATTTTCTACTTAGTCTCCCTTCATGGAACCATTATAACAAATTTAAGGGAATCTTTGAAAATAGTGATTCCTTCTCCAAAGCTGTTGGATCTGAGAGTCAGAAGCTAGAGCATGGCTTATTCATGGACATAGAGCTTAAATGTGACCCTCGAGATACCTGCTCCCCTGACTCCCACTCTTTCATTTGACTATTCCCCTCTGTGGCTGGGGAACCTGTAGCCTTAGGGCCACATGTAGCCTTCTGGATCCTTGAGTGCAGCCTTTTGACTGAAACCAAATTTTACGGAACAAATCCTTGATTTGTTTTGTGAAGTTTGGATTTGGTTGAGGAACCACATTTGGGGATCTGGAGGCCACATGTGGCCCTAAGGCCACAGGTTCCCCAGCCCTGTGTGGTTGAGTCCTCTAGTCTCTCTCGGAAAGAAGCTAAAGCTGAATAGCAGATCCTGGGTCAAGAAGAACAGCTACCATGTTGTTCTCCTTACACTCTCTCATTTACAAAAGGAAAGAAGCAGTAGGGAGTAGACCAATCCAGGTAGTCCAGGTCATCTAGTAATCACTAATGTTAAATTAAATAGTTCAACCACTGTGAAAGTCACAGATTTACTTATCATTATTTTTGGACACTGTCAACCAAAAACACAGACTGAGCTGCAATCAGACTGCAGAAGTCTGAACCACGTAGGCAGGTTCCAAACAAAAATACCCACAGGATCTTTACCTTCAAGGAACTTTATTGAACAGTTACAGATTCCAATGCTCCTTACCCTCATTGAATTCACGGCTCAGCTCATGGTTGGGGCACCGTTTTACCACCTCGGTGACATGCTCAGCTTTCTTGTAGACGGGCATGGCTCGAATGACGGCGCCCTGAGGAGGTGGGGTCATCACCTTGATCTGGATGGGGCATGTCTTCGCAATTTGGCAGTACAGTTTCTTCAGTTCAGTAGAATACTGCTTAGAGATGGGGCCAGAGTGGAGGGAAAGAGACAACCGAGAGGAGATATTGTTACATTCCAAATCAGAACATTGAAAATATATCCACATTTTATAGCCTTTATAGCTCATGTTTGTCACTGGCTACTACATATATGATATATGGCAATCTTACTAGAGGAAGTCATATTCATTAATCAAATGCATAATTTTTTGCTATTGTACTTAAAATCCTATGTTTACAAAAGGTTTTATATTATCAAAGCACATTTATGCCATTATTTTCTGTTAGTTAATATCTTCTCTGTAGGATGAAGAAACTGAGGCTCAGAGGGGGTTTAAATGATTAATACCATGAGTAGCTTCATAGATAACCAGAAACTAAATGGAAAAACAGTGTTTTCACATATTGAGTAATATTAAACAATAAATCACAGAGACAGCATTCTGCTTAGCAGATTATAATTAATCCAGCCTTTAAAATATTCTAGAGAGACTCATACGAGTTAGGGTTCATGAAATTTTTTTTTTAAATGGAATATCCAGCAGAGATTGGAGAGATTTAACCTGAGGTTAACCAGCTTGAGAACTGCAAAGCAAGAGCTCTCCCAAACTATTGCATGAATCTTCTAAATGGTCTGAGCGTAAGGGAATGCAGGAGCTAGAATAGACCTTTCAGTCCTGTACTCCTCCAAATAACTGGCCTAATGTAACACAGCTAATCATAGCAGAGAAAGAATCCAGATACACATCTTTTCACTCACAAATGAGTGAAACTTTTCCTGCCCACTCTTCCGTCTTCAGGGAGAGAAAGTTCATTGGTGGTTAGTTGGTTGTAGAGTTGGCAAAATAGGGTAGAGAAAAGCATGAGACCTAGAACCAAATAGAAAAAAAAAGGTCCTATCCTGTGTTGCTTCCTCTTCCTCACCTCTGAACAGAAAAGCAAGTCTTCATTCTAATCCTTACACCTCTGTTCTCGGGGTCAATGCCCCATCACTCTATTCCTGCTCTCTCAGATGCTGAGGCAAAACCACCCAGGCACTGGGATTGCTGGCCAAGAGTGGGGCACCTAGTAACACTTATCCAAACAAAGGGTAAACACACACACAGGTTGCAATCCTAAGTTGGCAGCAACATCCTTCCAGGGCAAAGACACAGGGGAGCCAGAGCCAGAGTGGCAAACAGATTCATTATTGAAATGTCCCACCCCAACTCTCTCTGAAAGCTAATACCCCACCAAAATCCATGTTTTAAATGACTGTTTTATCTCTTCCTTTTGAAATATAACACTTATTTAAATGATCTTTTCTTTTCTCCCAAGTATTTCAGTATACGAAATTTTTAGTTAAAAATTTCCCAATGCCAGAATAGTATTGCAAAATCAGCCCTCCATGCCCACAGGCCATGGATTAAACACAGCAAGAGGATTTTTCGTAGCTTGAAGAAATAGGAATCATGCCAAGATTCTACCACAAAAATAAAATTTTACTTGGGAAACGCTGGATAAACTCTAGATGGATATTTCTGCTCTTGTGTTTTTAACCAATGACTTTACAAACATTCTTTTAGAACATATTAAGGACTCATTTTCATTGAGAATGCCAAAAGAATAAGCATATCCATTTGTGTTTTTGTTAGGAGATATATAATACGTAATCTAAACATGAATTTCATAAGGTGACCCTTAGGAAAGATGACTGAAAAATACGCCTGTCAGCTAACACCTGAAGGCAAATAAGGCATCCTTCCAAGTATGTAAAGATTGCAAAAATGAAGGGTAAGTATTCAAAGTAGGACAGTTTCTGAAGAGAAACATTCCATTTCAATAATTAATATACTATAAATCAAGCTTGCCAGACTAAAGCATAAAAGCACTAAGAATAAGGCTAAACATCATCAAGTATTGACCCTCACTCATTCTCACAGATGGGGGTGCATAATCTAATTTCTGAGTTTAAATAATAATAAAAATAGCTTCATCATTGACTGAATTCCTTTGTAAGAAATTTAATCTTCACACACCGCTATGAGGAAGGCATTACAGGTATACAATCTCTTATCTGAAACCCCTGGGGCCAGAAGTTTCAGAATCCGGAATTGTTTGGATTTTTGAAAGGGAGCAAAGTTCATATAGCATATATTATCAGCACTTCCAGCAGAATTTAGGGCAGCACCCCATGATCAAACATTAACATTTCTGCAGAAATCACAAATAATTCACACTGACTGGGAAATGACTGTTAAGCCTCATCGGTTGGGCTGGGTTTCACCTCCAAATGAGTAGGCCACAAACTTAGAAACTAAAAACAAAACCATACCAACTTTTATTTCTTAGAGCTCTTTGAATTTCAGAATTGCAGATAACAGACAGTAGACCTGTACTATTGTCCCTATTTTATAGATAAGAAAGCTAGGGCACAGAAAGGTCTTGTCTGAAGTCACACAGAAGAGACGCTTAGCAACTAGAACACGAGTCTGTCCACATCCTGGAGCAAGTGTCTCTTCTCTGCTCCCTTAACTCAGCCATATGAATTTCTGTTCTCTTACATTTTTCTAATTTCCAACAAAGTGGCTCTTTTCTGAATCAAGTTAAAATGTATACAATCTTCTCTAACATTAAACTGGAGCTCAAAAGTGGTCTACTTAATATCAACAATTTCATTTTACTTATTTCTCAGTCTAATGTTTGCTCATTTAATTGTAGGGAGAAGAAGCAAGAGATAGAATTGAAAAAACTTTGGGCTAGGAGAAAGCTGACCTGGACTCTTGTACTAGCTCAGCTGTCTGTCGGTACTTCTATCATGGCTCTGGGGATTTCGAGAATAAGGTCCTGCTCCTTAACATGGTTTATTAAGGACTTTATAAGGCCCTTTGTATTCTGGCCCTATCTCTCTCTCTGATTCCTCCACACACCCACCCCCCCTCCACATTATCTACTCCATGGTCTACGCATACAAATTCTTTAATGCCTCAAACAAAATATACATTCATCACCCACAATTCAAAGTGCAATTCCCTGTCTGGTACACTTTTATTTTTCCTCTATTCTCCACACCATGCAAGGACAATTCAGATGTCACTTTTCAGCTAGGACTGTATCTGGTACTGTAGACAGTATTTTCCAATTTTAGTGATGAGAGTTTCATATTTGAGTAAATCAAAATATCTGACTACAGCCAAGATGCATTATGTTTATTGCTTTTGGTTAAACTACCAGGCCTGCCATTTATTAATAATAACTAGAGGGGCTGAAGTGGTCTGGCAGAATTGCTTGTTTACAAAGCCAAGTCTCTGCTATTTTATTTGCTTCATTGTTTGCAAATTGGTTCTGTGATGACCTTTAATATTTTTTTCCAGTACTAAATTTAGTCCCCTTGGCCTATATTGTATTAACAATTCCTGAGATCTGCCTATTTCTCTTATTCCTTATCAGTGAGCACTATCATCTTCTCCAATTTCCCAGGCTTTTGCAAGATCGCAAAAATGGGAATCTGATCTACACCAAGATTTTTAAATACCCTAATGATTCAAGTCAGCAAAGACTAAAAATTTGAACACATATGGCCTCTTCTAATGTCTCTCTATATATAATTTTTAAAAGTCACCTCTAAATTGATCCCTAACATTGATGAGATTCTTTAATTCTAAGACCTAACTTATCCTTTTTGTGCGGGTTTTTTTGTTTTGTTTTATGTGGTATATTTTTCTATAAAGCACATCAATTTTTAAGTGTACAAGTTGATGACTTGACAAATGCACACAGTTGTGTAACCACTACTATAATCAAATCAAAATATAGAATATTCCCAGTCTCCCCGACTCCCTGTTATCATTATCTTTAGCTCTTTGCAGTTAATCCCCTCCTCAATACCTGGTCGCAGGAAATCATGTACCAGCTTTCTCTCACTATAGTTTTTTTTTTTTTTTTTTTTTTTAGGCCCATTCATGTACTTGTAAAACTATAGTTTTATCTTTACAGAATTTTGCATAATTGGGAAAATAAAGTGTATAAGCTTATGCGTAATGCTTTTGAGACTTATGCATGCTTTTTCATGTATCAGCATTCTATTTTATCTTTGAGTGGAATTCCATTATTTATCAATTCAATCATTTCCAATTTTTCTCTACATGAAAAAACTACTATGAACATTTATGTACAAATATTTGTGAGAGCATACATTTTTATTTTCCTTGAATAGATATCTAGGATGTATGATTGCTGGGTAAGTATATATTTAACTTTTTAAGAAAATGCCAAATTGTTTTATAAAGAGGCTGTGCTATTTTACCTTGACACTTGGCAATATATGAGGGCTTCACATCCTTGCCAACACTTGGATTTTTTTTTTTTAATTTATGCAATCCTAGTATGTATGTAGTAGGACTCATTGTGGTTTAACAATTCTCTGATGATTAATGATTTTGAGCATCTTTTCATATACTTTTAAAATTTATATTTACATATAATAAAATTATATTACATTCATTCTGTATTATTTTATATACTTATATGCTATTCTTTTTTTGAAATATCTATTCTAATGTTTTGTACTTTTTTAAGTTTAAATTTTAAAAACTTATAGACTTTTCCCCCTGTTGTTATACAGAAGTTCCAGTTTTTAAGTGTTATTTTATTTTTGATTGACACATACTAATATATATATAGTAATAGGGTACAATGTGATGTTTTGATATATGTCTACACTGCATAATAATCAAATCAGGGTAATTAGCATATTCATCACTTTAAACATTTATCATTTCTTTGTGGTGAGAACATTCAAAATCTTCTAGCTATTTCAAAATATACAAAGCATTATTGTTAACTATAATATTACCCTACTATGCAATAGAACACCAAAAATATTCCTCCCCTCTAACTGTAATATTGTGCCCATTGACCCACATACATTTCCCCATTATCGCCCTTCCCCTCCCCCCTCCTCCCCCGGCCAGTCTCTGGTAACCACAAGTCTACTCTCAACTCATATGAGACCAACTTTTTTTTTTTTTTTTTG